AATGTTCTTTAGTTTAAAGTTCACTTATTAAAATCTATTGATTTTTCTCAGTTTCATCTATTAAAGTTGCACAATGGAGACAGACAACGCTGACATCTCCGTTCATGTTAGTAAATGTAGGTTGTTTTCAATTTCAAAAAACACTTACAAAAATATTTACATAACCCAAAACAATTACATGGGGGCCAACATACAAAATTACATGATAGTGGGGGAGTGATAATTAATTTAAGTATTTTTTACTAGTAAAAATTAAGTAATTTATACAAAATTTTTATGACATGGGTGCTTGCCTCTCAAATCAATCCCTGATTATGGAATAAATAATTATTAACTGGATTAACTTTTATTGATAAATGGTAAGTACACTTTTAAAAAAGGGTAAATGGAGTTATTGTAAAGTCCAACTTATTTAAGGGAGAATAATCGCATTTAAGGATCACTCAATTACATTATTCATAGATAATAATTAATAACAAGTCTCACTTAAAAATAAGTTATATTTTTATTTTAATAATAATCTATTTCAATCTTTATTTATAAATAATTTTCTTACGTAATCTTTAAATGTGCTTCTCCCTTTACTTAAAGCCCAAAACAAATTCTTCAAAGGTTAAGGATATAAAGCACACAATATTGTTACGTGGAGGTTTGCAAGAAACAAATGTGCTGCATTCTTGTCACAATGCCGCGAATAAGGGAAAGACTATCATAACAGGCACGAATCAATTTCAAAGGAATCCTCATGGGATGCCACGTGACGTGGTTATGAGAAGCCACGTGGTGTTCTGCATTAGTAAGATTGCGTGTTTCTGGGATGCACAAGAAGCGCACACGACACGGGATCCAGGATTATCATCTTGGACCAAAAAAAGACTAAAAAGATATATTTTACGTATAATAAAAAAATTATATCACACAATTTAAAAAAATTATTTAACCATAATAATTATGTTTAAAAATAAAAAAATTATAATAAAATATTTGTGTTAATCGACATAAGCATGTATCAATTGTTTTTCATTAATATAAATTATGAGGAGTAATTTAAAAAATGTGTAATAAATGCTTCTTAAAATATGTAATTTTACTTATATAAAAAAGTAAAAATTAATAGTTTCTCTTATAAATAGAAAATGAGTAGTATTTAATATCCTTAAGTAAACAAAATATAAGAATACTCATAAATTTATTATAATAAATATAACAGTCATCATTTTATTAAAAAATTAATCATTAATTCTTATTATTTTGACCCAATTATAACTCAGTTATTAAATTTTAACTCGTTATGACTAAGTCTTTGTAGTTTTAAATTTATTATAACTAAATCCCTAAATTTCACCTCTTATAATTCAATCCCTATAGTTTCAACCACTTAAATATTAGTTCCTATATTTTGAAAAATAAAATTATAAATATTAAAAATATTTTGAACCTTTAATATTTATATTATTTAAACATTAAAATATTAAAATTATAATATTTTGAACTTTTAATATTTATAATATTTGTAATAAAATTATAAATATTAAAATTATGTTACAATTTATTATTAATATTTTTAATTATTAAACTCTTTTAATCTTTATAAATATTAAAGATTTAAAATATTTTTAATATTTATAATTTTATTTTTTAAAATATAGAACTAATGTTTAAGTGGTTAAAATTATAGTGACTGAATTACACGAAAAAAAATTTAAAAATTGAGTTACAATCAAGTTAAAATTATGAAAATTGAGTTACAATAAGTCAAAATTTAAAAATTAAATTACAATTTAACCAAAAATACAGAGACTAAATGATTTTTTTTCTTTTGTTAAATTTGACTAATGTCTATTAACATTAACAATTAAAAAAGGAAGCAAATATAAAATACAAAAATGTCCAAAAACCTTTCCTTAATAATAACTTTTGGTATCCTTTAAGTTAATAAGAGTGTATGTCTACTCATTAACTTTATATAAAAAGGCCATATAAACTCTAAACCCAAAATCCAAATTCAGCTACAAAAATTTGGACTTTTAAACTAGTCCAAATACAAGAATTATTAAATATTATATTATTTTATTTTTTTAGTCGATTTCAATTTTTATCTTAAAAATTAAAATCTTCAATATCTAATTTAATTTTAATTTTAATTTTATTGATAATTAAAAGATTAGACATTTGAGTTTGGCTTAATTTTCTCCCAACTTATTCGAGTGGCTTGAGTACGGAAAATTTTAAAAACATCCCAAGTCCGATATTAATAATTAAAAAATTAGAATTATTCAGCCCGTTGAGCTTAATTTAAATTATTGACTCTAACATTTTTCATCTCTTAAAATAACTTGCGATGGACTGATCCATCTATCTCTTATACTTCTTTGTTCATTATTAAAGTCGGACAACTTAAACTTGAAATTCTATAAATAATTAATAAATAATGCACTTCTTTGTCAATTGTGACAAAACTTACTATACACTTTCTTTTCCAGACAAGACTATTATAAATGGTTCAATTAAGCTTTGTGAGAGAATTATCAGTCTATTAATTTGATTTCCTTTTTTATTTAGTATTCAACGTTAACGAAAAACTAAAAACTTTAGAAAATGGATCTAAGATTAGTGATGTATTAAACACTTTGTATCAGTTTTTTCTTTTTCATATAGAGATTGTCATTTGTTTTTCAAATTATAGTTTTTAACAAAAATTTAAAAATGAGAATAAGGGCTACTCTCATGACAATGATTGACGTTTTAATAGTATTTCGGTCCACTATCATAACACTGAGAATTAAGGGGTACTCTCATAACAATGAATGACGTCCTAAAAATGGGTCCACTATCAGTGTTCTGCATGAGAACATGGCTTCTAATAGCATTTGGGTCCCCTAAAAATGTATTTTTTTTTTAATTTAAAAACTTTTTTACAATATTTCTCTGAATTGGAAAAAAACGTTTAGTTCATATTACAACTCATCACATTTGGTTGTTCCGCATGATGATTCCTTTTTAAATGTACACTAATTAAAAGGCACACCTTTCATATACAAGTTATTGCAATATAGTTCTCCAAGTTTTATGATTTTTTCAAAATTAAATCAAGAAATCCATGAAAATTGGTTTTTTTTTTTTTGGTCCCGTTTAACATAACATAATATCATTTGCTCTACTACATTTTGTTTCGTTCATTTTTAAGATTGAAGTTAAGACATGCTACTGTTTCATATAAACCCAAGCAACGCGCGCGTGAATCACGCTAGTTTTTAATAAGAGACGTAGAAAAATTGGTTGCTTTATTTCAAGTCTTTTAACCCACCATTTTGTCCTTGCTCAACGTTCTCTGATGCTTCTATGTTATATCTACGAGTTCAAGAGGATGCATCTGATGATTATGATGGTGGTCAATCGAGCTTCACACCACTAACGGGGAATCAGTTTTTTCCTATTGCATTGCATCCAACATTGGTTCTTCCAACTACTCATTCAAAATTTGCAGACCTTGGATTTGTTTCTGTTTCAGCCACTTCTCATTGTTCATATCAGAAGTGAAAGGTTACCCTGTTAGCTTGTTTTCAGAGACAGATTATGAGTTTCATGGGGTTTATGCCAAAAAATTAAGTGAGAGTGACAAAGAAGTACTACAAGAATTAATTAATTCAATTTAGATTTCAAGTGTTAACTTTCAGGAATTTATAAGTTCAGCTTTTAATTTTTTAATTTTATTGTAATGAATTTACAACTTGTGTTCCAAATTTTAATAGGGAAAACAAATTTGTTTATTTTTCAACCATATTAAAATTTAAAAAATAAATTGTAAATTCATCATAATAAAGTTGCAAAATTGAGAATTAAACTTATAAATTCTTAAAAGTGTACCTAAGACTTTGATCCTTTGAGGACCTGCTTGTCATTCTCCCAAAAATTAACCTTGTATAGTTGCATGATACACTTGGGGACCTTCATGCATTGCAGCCGTGTGGAGGTCCTGTTAGATATTTTAATTATATATATATATATATATATATTATTTATAAAAATTGTTTTAAATATGTGAGATATCATTAAGGATAATAAAATATCATAAGTGTGGCTCCAATCAGCTGCTTGTATTTAGGTTTAGGAGTTTGCTTAATCAAAAATCTAAATTAAATAATAAAAGAACCTTGATGGTGGGTTATAGATAGGAGCCTATAGACTGAGTTAGTGTACCGTAAATTATTACCCTCTAGGAGGGTTCTTTAGTTACCATTACTGTGCCTGTATCTCTTGTGCTTTTCAGTTATGGTGAGACTAAAAGGACTCTACATCAAATCATCTAACAATGGCAAGAGGGAACCTTAAGTCTTCTAATTTATTTCTCTAACTTGTAGGAATTCTGTATAAAGGCATAAATTTAGAGTTTGCGCAACATGTCCAACAACTACGGTTGGGGGAAAAAAATACTGAATTGATTCTTGGAATCCAATTTAGTCGACCGCTCACTGCTCTTCAAATTGATAGATTCAGACTGGTCTTTGGACTGGTTTTATATGTTCTTCATGCGGGTTCTACTGCACTTCATCTGCTTGTTCTGGAACACTACAACTTGGTCATTTTGGAGTGTTGATTTTTGCTTCTCGAGTTGTTGTATCTTCGTTTTGTTATTTTATGCTTTGTAGTTTGTGTTTGTATTTTGTCTAAGCCTTGTCATGAGCCTCTAGGAATACTTTTCTAGGGAACTTTTTATGTGTAATAGTTTTACTTTTAATGAAAGTTTCCTTTGTGTGTCTGTGTGCGTCTAAATCAGAGCCCAAGCTCGAGTTTGGATGCGGAAACTGCATACTTGAAGAGTGGAAGATGCAACAATGTGTATGTGTCTGATTTCTTTTTCTTTTACTTTTTAATTTTTTTTGGGCCAACAAAAGTGCATCGTGTTTTTAACATCGAATAAAACATATTTCAATGTCAATCTATATAATGATATTAAAAAAATCATACACGATTTAATATTTTAATAAGAAAATAAAACCTTTAATTTCAAATTTAAATCTAATAATTAATGCATTTTGTAAATTCATATCATATGTAAATAAGGAGCATGATTGAGATGAGATACCCAGTAGGCTATCCTGCTCCAAACACGGGGGTCTTATTTATTTAATCACTACAGTGACTTGTATCTAAAACAGAGTCATTTCTGATTGACCGGAATTAATCATGTGCCAACTCTAACAGTCTCAAGTGCTACCTTACCTTCCTGATAGCACTGGTAATTTATGACACCATAATTCTTTACATTTCTGTACATTTTTGGCCTTGTCTCATCAATTAGGGCTTCCACAGGTTCTATTTCTGCATCTGGATCTGGCTCGTTAAACATGGCCACTGACATCCTTAACTTCTTTTCGTTTGTCAAAACCCTGTGCATTGGACTCTTGAAAATTCCATTGCTCATTATCTGCAACATATACATTAAGGGGTAATCATTCAGGAAGGTCTGATGGACTCTTTACAGAAACAATATAATTTCCCATTTGCTTAAATTCTTTTTGAAAAACAATACCTCCTCTTGTTTTTTTTTTGAGACTAAGAAAATTAATTAAAATTAGCTAAATGTAAAAAAAATTTCAATATCATAAATCATAATTTTAAAACTTATTAAATATAGGTTAAATCAAGTATGAGCGAGTAAGATCAAAAGTATCCACATTTGTAGCTATAGCTATTAACATCTTTTTAGAAAAAAGGTCCCAAAAATCATATATAACGTGAAGGATCTAAAAATGAATTGGCTTTTAGTAGGGTTTAATTCTTGATTTTTTTCTAGTTTTTTAAAATTTTGCAGTTTTTTTTATATATATATATTATGGTTAGAGCCACCCGCTTTTTTGAAAACCGTCTTGGTTTGCTCAGTGGAAGCTTAATTTTGGTCCAACCATGAAAGCGGTTTTTAAGTCCAAACTGAGATACCATTAACAGCTCTAGTCAATGGTTTAACCAGTCCAACTGTTCTATTTGGTTCTTAAAACAATGGTTGGTTGGTCCAATCAGCAAATATGCAACTGATACTTTATAAAAATGTGGTTCTAATGTGTGAGGATCTCGTCGGTAAGTAATCTAGGAATATTTTTGCATATGCTTTGAGCCTCAAGACCTACTAAAAATGATTTTTTAGTCCAAACTGAACCATCTAACCGTCTAGTCCAATTTTTAAAACAATAGTTCGTTTGTCCAATTAGCAAATACGCAACTCTTACTTCATAAAGGTCGGTTCTAATGATTTGGTTAGTGAATAATCTATAAGAATTTTTGAAGACGTTTAGAGGCTCAGTCTATTTCTGTTTTTGGTCAAAAGAGCCTCAAAGTCTACCCTAAAATTTATCAACAATTTGTTTCCCGCTTAAAAAAGGACCTTACAAGTTATAAAAGCAGAGGATGTACTTACCTGCATTTGATCACCAAGATTGACGACAAGAGATTCAGGTATTGTGGGGACATTAATCCAAGCGTCATCAATCAGCACTTGAAGGCCTTCGACTTGAGTGTCTTGCAACAGAACTGTGATTCCTGATCTATCAGTGTGAGGCTTCACGCCAAGAACCATATCAGGTCTGCTGCATCGAGGGTAGAAGTTAAACCTTGCCATCATCATTGCACTGTCCCCAAACTGCTTCAAGAAGCTGTTCTCTTCCACCTTTAACGACCTTGCCATGCTTCTCAACAGTTGATCCATCATTGCCTTTGTTTTAAAGGAAAACTCCTCCAGTGTCTCCCTGAATTGTTTAGCCACAATTAATTAAAAGGGCACATTTGGTTATGAAAAATGATGAGAATGAAATAGACAAAATCAAATTAAAAATAAATTAAATTATCCTTCCTCTTAGTAAGTACAGTAAAATCCAATACCACACACTACAAATATAAAAATTAACATATCCTCCACAAATCTCATGAATCATGACCCCAATCTTATCAATTAAATTACTCTTCCCCTTCATGAATATGGTATCTCTCAATCACATTTTGATCATCTTATTTTTGCTTCTATTTTTTTTAATTCATTCCAGACTCATCATTTTTAGCAACCAAAAGGTTTCTAATTGATTTCTCAACGTCAACATAGTTGATTATTTGAAGAAATCTTTCTTCTAATAATACATCATCTGTCTTACATGGCACCTATCAATTTAGTATGGTCAACATTGAACAATCAGATATTATCATTAATTAATCTCGGTAATAAACTCAGAATATTATGAAATTGTTCAAAGTAAAGGTGGATCAAACTTTAATAAGAAAATTGTTCACAATTTTTTAAACTATTCATCATTCAGTTTAACTTTTACGTAGATAGCTTTGTTATAATTTGAGTGAAAATTTTCAAAATGTAATAAAGTGTATCACAAAAAAAAAATAGAGTAACAGATAAAAAAAAGAAACAAATCAAAGGATGGATAAACTATTATTTAGCCAAAATTTATTTGCTTGCTTTTCAGGATTCGAAAATCTATGATTATGCTGATTATACTAGAGTGAATGTTGAATTTTTTTTCATTCTTTCTTGAAGTAGTATACCTGAAATCAACAGGATTTTCAGGCCAGAGAGCAAGCCTTCTGTTGTTTGCTGGAAACACTTTAAGAGTTAGGCGATAACACCAATCTAGGACCTGCTTCCCTGAAACTATTCTGTCATTGCCATACCCTTCAGATTCATTCACAGCTCTTCCATACTTCTCCTTCTCTTCCACAGGAAGTGCAAAAAACTGCTTTGCAACTTCACGTACCTTATCAAGAAATGAGCTTGACATTCCATGACCTACTGCCTGTCATAGAATTTCAGTGATCTACACAGTTCATAGAACTGAAATTCCTAATATATTTGGATTCTCAAGCTGAAACATATATGTAATTAAGTGAAAAACAACTTATATACCACTACTGTATATGTATCATAGGAAGTTAGCAATGTTGATTAGGAGAGGAAAAAAAATTTGCTTCATCAACCTGGCTCAGAATCTAGAGTAAAATACTAAATGCATCATATCAAGTTTAATCTTCTTCTTTTTTTTTGGAACACGTAATTCTCAAAAGATGTTCTGTACTTGAAACGTGTAAACTAAACAGAACCTATCATGTCGTCCTAATACCTTTAGTAAGAACCACTATAGCTACTTTAAATTGTCAATGAAGTCTCAAGTAATTTTACCATTAATCAGATTCTTGCATTAACATGGAGACACATAAAAGAAAGTAAATCACACGGTTTGGGGGTTAGGATCTGGTAACCAAAAGGAAGAAATGAAAGGCCTCAGAGAGAAGTTTCGGCACCAACAGTTACTGTGAACTTGAACATCCAGCAACTTCATGATCATATCTCATGAGGTGAAAGTCACAACTTAGGAGATACTAAGAAGACTTCGTTTTAATAAATAAAGCTACATTTCGCATCGCATTCGCATCCATAACAAAGAGAATCGATCCTATTTAACATAATTACTAAAGCAGTCACTACTAATAGAAATGATCATAGTAATCAAACATTAATTCTTCATTTCTTAATAGCTACAAAATCAGACGTGCGAAATAAAAAATTGTGCATGATCTTAATTATTTTATGACTTCTGATAATCAATCTTTGATAAAACCTTAAAGGCACAGCAAAATTGACGATTGAAGTGGGATAGAGTAGCATTGTTGATCTAATTCACAAGGAAAGTCTAGTCCAAAGGATTGAAGAGACGAACAGATATATCAAGTGAGAAGTAACAATCTGGACAGGAAAAATTGAGTGTTGACAGTGGAAAGACATAGCACCTGGAAGCATCCAGAAGAGGCAAGAGCAGATCTAAGCTTGAGAAGCTCTTGTTCTGAAGATAAGAGGAGACTCACATCGATGATGGGTATGAGAATCGATTCAGAAGAAGAATCATGCTGCTTGGAGCCGAAGGTATGCTCCTTCACAACAAACTGCAGTGGAGGTTCATCCCCATCCATGGACATCTCTTGAATGCTTTTCCCCACTGATTTTGCCTCTGAAACAGAAAGGTTTCCGGCCATCTCTCTCTCTCTCTCTCTCTCTCTCTCTCTGACTTCGAGCATTTCGTATGGAGGATCCGTGCTATTATTTTATACACATACCCACAATGCAAGAAGAGCCAAGAGGGCTCATGGCCAACGCGGCAACGCCTATGATATTTATTCAGAAAATAGGAATTAGAGAAACACTCAATTTATCAAATAACTCATTAGATTTAATTTACAAAGGAGTTTGTTTTCTCTCCCGCCAAATCCTGTCCAGCCTGCCATCAAAATGTGTAATTTTTTAGTTATCCATAAGTATCTTTTTAGGATAAATTCTTCTACTTGCCAAAAAAAATCATGTAGCTACAAAATATGAGCTAAATTTTTAAAAATTTAAAAGTGTGGTCAATTTACATTGATATATAAAGAATTTATTATTAATATATAATAAGTTTATTATTAAAATTAATAAGAGTTTTATTATTATATATAACGATATATTATTGACAAATATGATATCCCAATTATAATGCAAAATATAATAAATGTTGAGTTATTTATTTGGTTTGATCTTATAACATGCATTGTTGTCAAACGCTCAAGTTAAATCTACAAATTTATCATTTTTACATTTTGAGTTTACAAAATTGTATTAACTCGTTTATAAACTCGGATTAAATAAGATTCAGATAAACTAGCGAATTGACTTTTCAAATTTATTATTTTTATATTTTTAACTTATAAAATCATGTTAATTTCCTTATAAACTCGTTGAACAAGATAGGTATATATTGTGTAAAACTTGATTCATAGAAGCAGTAGGATCTAGTTCAATGAAAAATAAATTTAAAAAAACAAAAAATACTAAAAATAAATTTCCCTCTTTTAAAATTTTTATATTGAGTATAATAATCTATGAATGTTAGTTATATTTGAAATATATTTAAATTAAAGTATGGTTATATTTTATATTTTAATTATTTAATTATGTATTTTTAAAGACTATTTAATAATAAAAATAAATTCTTACAAGTTTATGATTTAAGTCTATATTTTGTGTTTATATCTTGTCATGAATTTATTTAAATTTGTGAGTTTAACAACCTTAATAACATGAGCTATATCTGCAAAAACTTCTTCTTCTTCTTTTTTGGATGTGTTAACCTCTTCTTTTTATTAGGCAATATGTTTGAATTAAACGTGATGTCGTGGTATTTAAAAGATTAAAAGATAAGAATAAAACATAAATATGAAAATTTTAAAATTATTTTAATGTATTCAAAATTTGTCATTTTATGTAAATTAAAATTTAAAGAAAAATTAATTCTATTTTAAAATTTGTAATTGATACATGAGATTTAGAATAATAGAGATAATTAGTGGAATTAAAGATATAAAGGTTGTTTCAGCATTTAATTATATTTTTTATAATTAAATCTCTTGGTTGTAACGAGTAATTGTGAATGAAATTGTTATTTTTCTTTCTCCTTCTTTCCCTCGCACCTCTACCTCGGTTAGCTACATCCATGCATATTAAAAATATAAATAATTATTTATTTTATTTTAGAACTTGTTACTTGGAGTAAAATAGAATCTGCACAACAATTTCTATCTACAATGGGTTACTCTCATGAATATTTTAAAAATATAAGCAAATTTTCAACTTTTCATCTGTTACAAATTTAAATATAATTAACTTATTCTTTTACTTAATTCATTGGCTCACGCATCACCCTAGAAAAAAATAAAATATGTACTATAATGAATCTTATAATATAATTTATTCCCTCCATTTAAAAATATAAAATATTTTTAACTGAATCTCACTTTCAATAAAATAGTTATCTATTTTCAAACTAACTCTATCTTTTTACACGAACATCTTATAATAAATATAAATTAATTCATTTAATAAAGGCACTTTAAAAAAAAAGACAATAATTACACCTCAAAAAATTAAAAATATTTTACATTTTTTAACATCCAACTTCTTAAAAAATATTTTATATTTTTTAATAGAGAAAGGATATCTTGATAATATTTTTTGCTAGATATATTATAATAGCATTTATAAATCACAATTGTAGACCAAAAGTAAAAATAGATAACAAAATACATATATATTAAATAATGATTTTCAATTAAGCAAACGGCATAATCAATAGTATTTTTTTTTTGTCAGAATATAGTATAATTTTATTTACAATCACATATGCGCCTATGACATCATAATAAGAAAGATAACTATTAAAGAAAAATTTTGGGCGTGTATAATAGAAGATAAGATCATCAACATTATATAATAAACTTAGAAATACCTAATTGCAAAAATATTTTCCATGAGATTTCAAGCCATAGTTTATTTTTTATATATTAATATTAGATTTTCTACTTTATGCATTTTAATTTTTAAGAATATCAACAATAATATTAGATGAAAATGCTTTCTTTAGCATGTAGTATGTTCGATCTCAATGATCTCCCGATCGGCTTGAAATTCTCGCTAAGGTTTCTTCCACCTCAGGGTTGCTTGACCACCGCACCACCTCATTGTGGCGAAGATGCCCTTAGCTGTTACAGAATTTGGACCTTGGTTCCTCCACACTGTTTCAAACTCGACATTTAAGTTTTCAAATATTAGGACACACATGGCATTCTTGCATGTTCCTTTTCGGTGCAAATATTGGTCAAAAAATGTTTGTTAATTCAAAGTGGATAGCAGGTGCTAAATGCTGCGATTTTGTTATTAGTTCTTGAATTAATTTGTACCACCTTATAATATAACATAACTAATGTTATTTGAAAAATAGTGTAAAAGTAACATTGGTCTTTAACTCAATTTTTTTTAAAAAAAAACTTGTTTATGTTAGTATTTTGAATTTAAAGTTTTCAAAAATGTTTTCATTCTTTATTTTTAAGCTAAAATATACATTTACTCATTTAACTTTATATTAAATTTTATTTTGGTCCCTTAATTTTATAAAGTATATTTTCTATCATTTAATTCTAACATCATTAGTTTTATTACAAAAAATTTTGACACTAAACTTTTAAATATTGATAAAAAAATTTCAAATGTTGATATAATAAATTTATTTTTTAAAATAATAATAATTGGTACAAAAATAATCATTTAAAACTAATAGTGTCAAAGTTAATGGATTAAAAAGATACTTTATAAAATTAAGGATGAAATTAAAATTTTATATAAAGTTAAAGAACTAAAAGTATATTTTAGCCTTATTTTTTTACACAAATAAAAACATTTTAGAGTTGTTTTCTTTCTTTCTTTCTTTCTTTTTTGGTTAAGCACAATTATTTAATTATTGTAAATTATATTTAACTATGGCCGATCATTATCATACCCCACAGCTATTAACTACTTACAACCACAAGTATTGCCCAATTTTTTGAATTCAATTTTTTTTTTCAAATTAACATAACTAAACAAATTTTTTATTTTGTTTTGAAAAACAATTTTTAAAAATTAATTTTTAAGATGAAATAGAACCAAACAAGCCTTCAAGGTCATCACATCTCAACTCAAGTTTGGATGGGAAAACTGCATGCCAAAGGATGCAATCAAATAAATGTACTTGATTTCTTTAGTATTTTTGTGGGCCATCAAAAATGCACTGAGATTTTAATATTATATATACTCTCTCCGTTCAAAAATATAAATTATTTTTTAAAGAATTAGATATTAAAAAATGCAAGGCATTTTTAATCTTTTAATGTGTTATCATTATTTTTGTTCAAAAATACCCCTATTGATAATGACTTTATATTTATTGTAGGATGTTTAATAAGGATAAATATGAAAATATAGGTTTAATTTGAAAGTAGATAATAGCTTTATTGAGAGTGAGATTCACTTAAAAATATCTTACATTTTTAAACGGAGGGAGTAACTAGTAAGAAACCCGTGCATGCACGGGTGTAAACAAAATAAATAATTGTTAATATACACATAGGGCTTAAGGTATATTGAGAACTTGTGTTTTCAAATTAAAATAACTTTTAAATTAAAGTTACTTTATTGGTGGACTAAAGTTATTTATTTTATTTACATAACAATATTAAGTTAAAGTTATATTATATAAAGAGTTTCATGATTTATCTTGTTTTTATTTTTACCTAAGGTATCCTCACCTTTAGTAATAATGAGATTAATCTCTTAAGAAATTTAATAGCCATTTAAGGGGTTGTCTTATCCCAATGGATGCCTTAGTTATGCTTAAATTGAACTTTTGAATTTACATTAGTAATTATGTGTACCTTTTTTTCTTGCCAATTATGTGATTATTTATATTTACAGCAATAATAATAATAATTTGCAAATATTATTGTCCTTCATGACTAATTTACATTTGCAAAATGATACATACAAGATACAACTATACAAGAACCTCTCTTAAATTTATTACAACCACTATATATCCTATCTTATCATCTCAAATGGCTATTAATTATGACATATTTTGTTCACTTATCAAAAAATTTAAATAGAAGTAATCTAGACAAAAAGAAATGTTATTGAACATAATAACCTCTTAGAAGAATACAACAAATGAATTGGTGGATTGTAGCATAGAAGAATCTACAAAGCAGTAAAACAAAAGCCATAGAGAACATAATTGATTGAAGCAACTTGGATTAATACAATCTCATAACCCATCAACTACATTATCTCTCTAATTGTCAAAAATAGTTGGCACATGATAATCCATTTGTTGAACCAAATAATAATAATAATAAGCTCTCTTGACTTCATTTTTTCAATTACACACAAAAACTATGCTGTAGTTAGAGATAATTAAGGATGATCTAATTACATAGACTCCATAGACATTAGGTTTAACATTTAAGCAAAGCTGTGGAGCTAAAATTTATGGAATGCAATACCAAAGCAAGGAACTCACATAAAACTTCAGTAAAAATTCTTTTTAGTTCTTTTTCATTTATGGTTCAATAATGATCAATATTCAAAATGTAAATATTCATTGTGAACTCACATGTGAAGAGAAATAGGTTAAATTTAAGGGGGAGTTGTATAAATTCAAGCCTTAGAAAGAAATCCCTCTATT